AATTTTTCTACAAGATAGAATGTCATTATTTCAAAACATTTCGCCTCAACTACTTGAAAATCAGGTTAAGGCCTATTCAAGATACGTTGCGCTCAGCAATCACGCCATGTTGAAATTCCAATAACATAGCAGCAAAAAAGTTTGATGGAAGCATCAAATTTATGCTCGAATTGAGTGTCATTTGAGGGATCTAACGATTTCTTGGATATCTATTTAGATTCGCTTTGTGGGATGGAAACAATCAGCAGCTTCATAATATTTGAGAATTATGAGCGCTTTTGAGTCTTTGAAGATAAGATGAAGGTAAGAGTCCTGAGCGTACTTAGACCTATTAACAACATTGAAGTGATCTTGACATTCACAGTCACAGTCATTTGTACTTATGCTCCCTATCGTTGAAACTCCATAGCGTAGTTCATCACCAATTGCACTACATGGCTGCCTTTGAACTCCATAACTGGCTGCGAGAATCACTTGGTGGACTACGGCCACATTCTTTTACGTCGTCACATGCGGCGAACTTCTTGTCGACACGATGGGTGGTCGCCATCACTTTCCAAGAATAGCAATCGGCATGTGATGCCCGACTCGACACTACATTATAGTTCGCTAGAATCCTTGAGAACAGAGCTGACAATGATTGAACGACTTTTTCTACTCTGTTGGTGTTCAAAACCAGCGGCATGCTCACATCACTGACCATCGAACGACTCTGTAATGCGTCGGGATGCCGACAGTGATGTCAATATGGGTATGCAGTTCGGCACAGGGTCTCAATACAAGATTAACTTAATTGTGTCGAGAAAGGGTATTCAAATTAAAACTTCAAGCAAGTAAAAACCTGGCGGGATGGGTACGCGCGGAAGGCGAGGAAACTTGAAACACTCGCGCAATCTTTTCTCCACTTCTACTCAGGCCTCGGCGGCAGGCCTTCGGAGGGCAAGCTAGATTTCGTTTTTGTGGTAAAAAGCAGAGGGAATATCGTATGGGATCCGGGGCGGAATCCGGAAAAAATTCAACTTGAATATCTTGAGAACCTAAGTTTACTTTACTAATACCCCTAAGTTTCTCCGCAGGCAAAGGCGACAACCTTCTTGGAGATTTGTCGATGAAGAAATGGACATTGCATAAGATTCCTATTATATGCGAAGTCATGTTGCAAAGAATGACATTAAGATCACCTACCAATTCAGTATTGCCGTCATGCTTATCGCCCATATATTAACGGGCATGTCAAGCATACGGCCTTAAACAGTCTTCTTCTCGACACAGTTCCCAGTAACTCAATCCATACTTAACTATTTCTCGCAAGCCTCCTCCAAAGAAGATGCAAATTCGTTTCGAAGCGGGCATTTGCGCGGGAAATTTGAACAACATTTTCATAAATCGTTCAATCCCGTTTTTCTAAGCGAATAGGCAATGAAAAGCCACCAAAATTGGACCAAAGTTGCGCAACAAGGAGTGAAAGAAGTGTTCGAAAAATCTTTAAAAAATTATGAGAATGAAAAAATCGCCGTACCTTTCTGTGATTTAGGCCTCCGGCAGAGACCTAC